CAATTCCATTTCATTCATCACAAAAATTAAAAAATCTCATCATTATAATTTTTTTATTTTTTATTTTATAAGAGACCTCCAATTTATTACTTCAAAATTGATTAACTGATCAGAGATGTTTGCAATAATCCAAATTATATATAATATTTATGTACCTGAAGAAGCTGCTGGCTTGTCAGTTGTTTTAATAGTTCGATACATCTGCAATATTAAGTCACCATTTTCAATTTAATTAACACATAATAATAAGAGATCGATAATTACACGTAATAATGAGGTAATTAAAAAAATATATATAACAAGAAAAAATTATATAGAGGTATACATATGTATATAGTATGTAAACCTAGTGCTACTGTGTGTGAGGAGAGAGAGAGGAGAGAGAGAGAGAGAGAGAGTAGTTGTAAATGTTCTTCTTGTTCTGAAACGCACACATACACACACATGTCTTTGGATTCATCATTAATTAATCACGAGGTTGATGTTTTGATAAAAAAAATATTAAAAAATATATTAAATCTAACATATTATTATTGAATAATGATGACTTTCTCTCTCTGACTTTCTTTCTCTCACATGAATTCTCCCTCTCTCTCTCTCTCTCACATATTTTCATTCAGACAGACTCTGCCGTCTGTGCATTCATCGGCTACTGTGCCGGAGAAATTAACGGAGTCCACACGCAGAGAGAGACATAAACAAAATTAAGAGTACATATACACACACATATACATACACATATACATACAGATATTTGTGTATCTATATGTTTGACTAGAGAGAGAAGATGTTTTTTGGGAGGGGAGGGTAAAGAAAGGGTACCTGTAAATGGCTTTTGACGTGAGCAAGAGTGAGATCTTTGACATCCATTAGCTCCAGTACTGACTTTGGCGTAGCCCCTAAATTTTCCATCATTACTCTTATTAGTTTTTTAATTCATTCCAAATTTAACATTATTCAATCTCTAATTAATTTAATTTTTTTCACCAAAAAAAAAATATGCGTTCTAATAAATCTAATAAACAAGAATGAATAAAAATCTACACCCAATAATCCAAAAACAAGCAAAAAAACACAAACATATATATAAATATATAGAGAGAGAATGTAGAGAGAGAGAGAGAGAGAATAATATTGAATATAAATAAATTACTTTCATGGCCGCCGAGAAGCTCAACTGCATGAACAAAGCGGCTGTGGAGAGTACTCGTCCACCTCATTCTTGGAGCCCTCATACTCCGTTTCGCCGGAATCTTCGGAAGGAATCTTGATCTCATTATCCCATGATGCTCGTGGCTGGGCCCCACACCACCGTACTGGTTGTGATGGTTGTAGTTGTGGTGGTGGCCGTGAACCTGGTACCCGCCGCCCGACGACGACGACAGCCCATTATACCTACCAACGCCGCCGCCTCGGTAGGCGGCGGCGGCGGAGGCGGAGGAGGGAGGAGCATTACTACTAGGTCCCAGATTCAGCAATGGCATATGGTGATCCAAGCCACCGGCGAACCGCAACCTCGGATCCTGGTCCACGTGTCCCAAGAACGGGAACGGACGGTTGGGATAGACCGGGATGCCCTTGATCGGCCTCAGACCGTCGGATGCTGCTGCATCAAGCAAAGTAGTACGGTTGTTGATTTGGGTTTGGTGGTAGATATGGTGATAAGGGTTTTGCGGCGGCGGCCGTTCTTCTTCTTCTTCTACTTCTCCCTCTTCTTCTTGACGGCGGTGGTGGTGGTGGTGGTGAAGATGGGTTCTTCCTCTTCCGCCATTAAAGCTATTTCCAAGGTCGATTTCGTTAGCTGGGTGGGCTAAGGAGAGCTCGGTGAAGGAGTTGTTGTTCTTCGGAGTCGAAAGATCGAACCTCGAAACGACGTCGTTTCTCGATATTCTTGTTGAGGCAGATGAATCGCAGTTTGGTGGGCTAATGTGTAGAGAGAGATCAGGTAATACTGCTGCCTTCTTTGAGGTTGGTTCTAAATAAATCCCTTCCAAGGGCATTTTTTTTTTTGCTTTTTTCTCTCTCTAGTTCTTGTTCTTGTTTCTCTCACTAGAATCAAGAAGTGTTTTTTTTTCTTCTCTCTAGAAATTTCTTGCAACACACAACACACACACAACACCAAGAAACCTTAATTTTGATGTATGTAAAGATGATGATGGCTGGAGCTAAACTTTTTTTTTTTTTTTTGTGGGAGGAATTATTATTGAATTTTTTTCTCTTGTAAAGAGAAAAAAAAAAAGAAAAGCAACAGATGTGAAAAGAC